GGTTACTTCTCCATGTCACTGCTGGTGAAGCGGGGCTGTGATGAGGGCTTCCAGCCTCTGGGAGAGGTGATCAAGATGTGGGGCCGGGTGCCCTTTGCCCCTGGACCCTCTCCACCCCCACTGCTGGTGAGCGCCATCTCTGCAGGTTTCAGGGAGGGTCAGTGGGAGCAGGCAGCAGTGGAGTCCCCAAGGCTCACTTGCATTGGGCACGCTCTTCTCTCCCTCCCGCCCCCCAGGGGAACATGGACCAGGAGCGACTGAAGAAGCAGCAGGAGCTCGCTGCGGTGGCCTTGTACCAGCAGCTGCAGCACCAGCACTTTCTTCAGCTGGTCAGCAGGTATGGAGGCTGTGAGGGCTTGGACGTGGAGCCGGTGGTGGAGCAGTGCAGCCACTGTCTCATGTCTTGACTGTCTCCGCAGCCGCCAGCTCCCGCAGTGTGCACTCCGGGAAAAGGCAGCTATGGGGGACCTGACGCCGCCGCAGCAGCAGCAGCAGCAGCTCACGACGTTCCTGCAGCAGCTCCAGGCTCTCAAACCCTCCAGGTCTGTATTGCTGTGTGTCTAAACCCTCGGGGTGAGGGGTGATGGGTAGACTGGGAACAGATGTAGGGTTCTAAAAATAATTAGTTTACTCCTCAGAGGTGGAGACCAGAACCTGCTCCCGACAATGAGCCGGTCCTTGTCGGTGCCGGATTCAGGCCCCCTCTGGGACTTACATACCTCAGCCTCATCACAGTCAGGTGAGTGAACAACCTGTCTTCCCCCATGTGCCTCACTCTACCCCTTGCAGCCTTTGGATGAGATGGGGCTCAGCTGCTTACAACTGGACAGAAGTAGCGTGCTTCAGCACAGTCTGCAGCTGTTTTTGCCATCTGCAGGTGGTGAGGCCAGTCTTTGGGACATACCAATTAACTCTTCGACTCAGGGTCCAATTCTAGAACAGCTCCAGCTGCAACATAAAGTAAGTAGTGACCTGGGCTGTGTGTGAAGGCTAGGCGAGGTCAGTCTGGGCCTCCTGGCCTATCTGCTTCTTGGTCTCAGTTCCAGGAGCGCAGAGAAGTGGAGCTCAGGGTGAAGCGGGAGGAGGAGGAGCGCAAGCGCAGAGAGGAGAAGCGCCGCCAGCAGCAGCAGCAGGAGGAGCAGAAGCGGAGGCAGGAGGAGGAGGAGCTCTTTCGACGCAAGCAGGTCAGTGTCCTCCACTGTCCCCGAGCTTGGTGAATACCTGGGGCCAGCAGCTGCCCTCACTCAGTGTCTCTTGGCCCAGGTGCGGCAGCAGGAGCTCCTGTTAAAGCTGCTTCAGCAGCAGCAGGCAGCAGCTGCAGTCCCTGTGCCTCCCGCACCCAGCTCCCCACCCCCACTCTGGGCTGGCCTAGCCAAGCAGGGCCTGTCCATGAAGACGCTGCTGGAGCTACAGCTGGAGGGCGAGCGGCAGCTGCATAAGCAGCCTGTGCCCCGGGAGCCGCTGCGGGCTCAAGCCCCCAACCACCGGACGGTGAGCTGGCTGGGCCCCTTCCCTCAGTTGGTGGTCTCTCTGGCCCTCAGGAACCTTCAGGCAGCTTCTGGGGTGATACAGAGAAGGGGGTTGCTGAGCCCAGACTTTGCTTGGCCCTCACCTCATCCCTCTCCTTGTGCCATCCAAATGAGCCTCCCTACCTAGCTTTCTCAGGTCCCTTGTTGGAGCCCTCTTGACTTCCTGCTTCCACAGCAGCTTGGGGGCCTTGGCACTGCCCCCCTGAACCAGTGGGTGTCTGAGGCTGGGCCGCTGTGGGGTGGACCCGACAAGAGTGGGGGTAGCGGCGGTGGCAGCCTGGGACTCTGGGAGGACACACTCAAGAGCAGCGGGAGCCTGGCCCGCAGTCTTGGACTGAAGAACAGCCGGAGCAGCCCATCTCTCAGGTGGGTGCACTGCCTTCGGGGGCAAAGTGGGTCAGGATGGAGGAATGCTGAACTCCTGAACTGATCTCTGACTTCCAATTCCCACCCCTCAGTGATTCCTACAGCCACCTGTCAGGTCGGCCCGTTCGCAAAAAGACAGAGGAGGAAGAGAAGCTGCTGAAGCTGCTGCAGGGCATCCCCAGGCCCCAGGACGGCTTCACCCAGTGGTGCGAGCAGATGCTGCACACCCTGAGCACTACGGGCAGCCTGGATGGTATGGCGGGCACGCCTGGGGGCCTTATTGGGGCCGGGGACTCCAGACCTGACCAGGTGTGCCTAACAGCCCCACCCTGTCCCATAGTGCCCATGGCTGTAGCGATCCTCAAGGAGGTGGAGTCCCCCTATGATGTCCATGATTATATCCGTTCCTGCCTGGGGGACACGCTGGAAGCCAAAGAATTTGCCAAACAATTCCTGGAGCGGAGGGCCAAGCAGAAAGCCAGCCAGCAGCGGCAGCAGCAGCAGCAGGTGAGGTCTCAGGGGCTCTGGGGAGGGGAGTCTGGGCTCTCCTGACTCCTCCCCACCTTCCTCTCCACTGACTTAGGAGGCATGGCTGAGCAGCGCCTCCCTGCAGACAGCCTTTCAGGCCAACCACAGCACCAAACTCGGCCCTGGGGAGGGCAGCAAGGCCAAGAGGCGGGCGCTGATGCTGCACTCAGACCCCAGCATCTTGGGTGAGCAAAGGGTGGGGCTGGGAAGGAGGTACTTCCTCCGCACAGGCCTTTAAAGGGACCTGGGAGAGTTTAAACTGCTTCTCCTCCGGCTTCAGGGTACTCCTTGCATGGACCTTCCGGTGAGATTGAGAGCGTGGATGACTACTGACCAGCCGGTCCCACCAGCCCCCTGGGCTGTAGGCCAGGGGCTGCGGCAGCAGCTTGGACCCTTGGGTCCCTAGCCTGCAGGCTCCTGGCAAGGAGCAGAGGAGAAAGCAGGGGCAGGGTCCCCAGCACTTGTTACAAACCACACGATGCACCTTAACTCACCCACCACGAGGCACTTTACAGATTGGGGGGAAGGGTTTGGTTTTTTTTTTTCCCTTTTTTTTTTTTTTTTTTAATTTTAAATGACTTTGAAGAAAATGTTAGGAGAAACAAAAAGTATCCTTAAAAAAAGTAGACTGTAGACACCTCTTCCCCTCAGGGGATGCTGGGTGTGACCGTGGAAGGTCCACAGAGGTTTTTTGTTTGTTTTGTTTTGTTTTGTTTTTTAAGAAAAGATGAAAAAATGAGAAAAAAAAAAAAAAGGCTGAAAGAAAAAAAAAACACTGTTATTTTGGGGCAGTGAGGACATAGGGCCCCATGGACCTGCTCTGCCTGGCCCCTCAAGGCTGCACTTACCCTGCTGTCCCTGGAAAGCGGGCCATTGGGGTAACTGGAAGCTGGGGTGCCAGTAGTTTGCACAGTGAGGCCCCTCACAGCCCCGCCCACCGGACCCGCTGTGAACAGCTCCCTGTTGCTGAGACTTTGGCAGAGGTGTCCGTGATGGGGGCCAAACTTGCCCCTTGGCTTCGCTGCTTTGGGGGATTGTTGCACAAATTGGATGAGCCACCTCAGCCCCCAGCTGCCATCCTGTTGTGGTTGACAGGGAGATGGGAAAGGCCGGTTGGTGCCAGCCTTCTGTTGGGTGGCAGGACTCAGACTCAGGCCTGCTGAGGGACTTCCCCCACCGCTGCCATTTGGGGGGATGGCCTGAGTGACACTGAAAGCCCCAGCTCCCTGCCTTGCCACATGAATGTATTCTCCAGCCCTCAAGTTCCTTCCTCAGCTCCTTGAGGATGGGAGGATGGGTGGGGTCGTTCCTCCAGGAGCTGGGGGAGGGGGCGGGCGGAGGGAGCGCTGTGTCTGGCTGGGTCCTTGCTCCTGTGAGGGCAGGAGAGTGTCTAAGGCCAGAAGTGGGCAGCTTGGGACTGAGCACTGTGGCGCTGGGATTGTCACTAAGGAGCCCCCAATCTGCATCCAGCCTGTGGGGTGTGGACCACCGAGCTCTGCCCCTGACCTCTCCATTGACCAAATGGGAGAGGAGCAATCAGCCTCTCCCTTGATGCGTTTTTGCTTGGGTAAGGCGGGAGTGGAGTGGGAGTGTCTCCTGGGTCAGGGGTTTGCTGCCTTGCCTGTTGCTCACTGACTCACTCCTGATCCCTTGCCTGGGCTGGTTTCCATCCGTTTTTTGGGTTTTTAAGTCGTTTTGTTTTCTCTCTTGGGTTTCTCATTGAACTTCTCCCATTGACCTCATTGCTCAGAGTGCAGTATTAGGGCAAGACTGCCACTGCCTCCCTCCATGAATGTATTTCTCCTTCCTGCCCTGGGGAAGTGGGGAGTGGCCCCAGTTTCTGCCCCATCCCCAGAGATTTTTTTCTTTTTCTTTTTTTTTTTGGGCACCAAAGTGGCAACTGGGTCAGTGTTGGGGATAAAACTGGCCTTCAGGTGGAAGGGCCCCTCCACCTGCTTCTCCCTGGTTTTGACAGTGTTAGCATCCGTGAAAAGACAATATTCTCTCTAAAGCAATAAGGGGGTGATGGGCCAGGGGGAATGTCTTGCTGCTGCTGGCCCCCAGCTCACCCTTCCCTCTTGCCAGTGTGGCGGCATTAGAGGGGTGGGGGAGACGCCTGTTGTGACTGAATGTAACCGCCCTGCCCCTGCCGCAGCCAATGCAGGGGCAGGGGGACACTTCCTGTCTCTTCCTGCCCCTTCCCTCCCCCCAGCTAAAGAGACTTTGAACTTGGGGGCCCATGAGCCTGGAGAGGCCTTAACCCTGTGAGGAAGTGTAGGGGGAGCCCTCTCCCACCCCATCCCCTCTGAGAGTGGTCAATGTTTACAAGCCCTGAGCCCTCAGCCCAGGGACTCAGATTCCCCATTGCATCCTTTCCCAGTCCTGTCTTCCTGGGCCCTAGATGTTGCCCCTGCCTCGCCCCCCATTTGCTGGGTTTGGGGTGGTACAAGGGTTCCCATAGTGTTCCCTTGTCCTAGTACCCACTGTCTACCCCTCCCCACTTCCACCCTATGTGACTTCCCCTTTTACCTGACCCTGTAAATATTCCTCCCAATAAAACTGTGTGTGTTCGCCCTGTCTGCCTCACCTGTTGGCTTTTTTGGGGGAAGGTTAGTAGGCATTGAGTGTCAGGGTTCAGAGCTGGAAGTAAAGGTACTGGGGCAGCAGCACAGCCAGGTGGACTGTGCATCTGGAACCTCTGGCCCTGTTGGACAGGGATGAGTCTTCTGCCTCTGGCTTTGCACCCAAGGAAGAGTGGGTTCCCCTTAGCCCACTGCCTGGGGCTCTGTACCCCATGGCCTGTCTGCCTTCAGGCAGCAGAGAAAGACACAGTAAGGGATGAGACCAGGTACAGAGTTGGAATTGGTTCCTTTATGGAAAAACTGAAAATATAATAAAAATTAAAATAAAACCAGTTTTAAAAAAGCCAGCCCCTGGAGTTTCCACCTCCTGCCTCTGGCCCTCCAGAGGGGTGAGGCCCTAACCCCAGGGCAGCAAAAGGATGAGGGCTTTCTGCCCCATCCTCTTTCCCCCATTCCATCCCCATCTTTATCTCCACAGTGGGGGCCCCGGGAGGAACCAAACCTGGGTTGGGGAGCAGGGACCCAAGGCCCTGTGGCCCAGGGAGGGAGGCTCAGTGTGTACCCAGCCCCAAAGCTTCCGGCCTGTAGTGTGGGCGTGGGCAGGGCCCCTCCCGGCCTGGGCCCAGCTGGGGTTGGGGCAGTTAGTTCCAGATCTTGAGAAAGGAGTCCCAGGAACCTGTGGCCACAGCCATGCCATCGTCAGTGACCCCAAGGCAGCTCACTCGGTTGTCATGGCCAGCGAGGACACCTGGGAGGGAGAGGGACATAAGAACTGGCCTGACCTCACCCTGCCTACCAGACCTAGCACCCAGTTCTCACCTGCACGGTCACCCTTCATGGCATCCCAGATGTTGCAGTTGAAGTCATCATAGCCAGCAAGCAGCAGCCGGCCACTGCGCGAGAAGGCAACCGAGGTGATGCCGCAGATAATGTTGTCATGGGAATACATGAGCAGCTCCTGGTCTGCCCGCAGGTCGAACAGGCGGCATGTGGCGTCGTCAGAGCCCGTGGTGAAGGCGTAGCCGTTGGGGAAGAACTGCAAGACATGGGCCAGAGGGGATGAGGGTGCAGGGCTGGGTCCTGGAAGGGATGGCCAACCCAGCTTGCCTCCAACTCACAGCCACGGCATTGATGTCAGACTCATGACCGATGAAGGTCTGTCGGCACATGGAATCCCGCACGTCCCACAGCTTGATGGAGGCGTCACAGGCACCCGACACAAAGGTGCGGCCATCGGGGGCCAGTGACAGGGACATCACATCCCCACTGTGTCCAGCAAAACCCACAGTCTGCTGGCCTGTTTCGATGTCCCACAGGGCACTGGAGACGGGACAGGAAGAAGAAAGGGATCAGAAATGAGGGAAAGGACAAATTCCCAGCCCCACCTCACCACGAGCCCAGCCGAAAGGAGACCAGGGAGACTGCTCTTGACCCAGGCCAGTTGCTGAGGGAGCCCCTTGGTCCCTGCCCAGAAAAGGACTTCATCCTTGCCCAGGTGTGTGCTGCCTGCTGTGCCCTGAGCCACCTAGAGGCAGGACGTGTGGGTTAGCCAGAGCAGCCCAGCCCTGGCAGGGCCTCACCAGGTGGTATCTCCAGAGCTGGTGATGATTTGGTTGTCATCCAAGAAGCGGCAGCATGACAGGTACCCTGGGGAAAGGGGCTGGTCAGTCAAAGTATTGGGGAGGGCAACCCCCAACTCCAATGCCCTTGTCAGGCCAGGCCCCTCTCACCAGTGTGGCCAGGCAGCTCCCGGCTGACCCTGACATTGCCCTCTCGGGTTTTGAGGCTGTAGATGGAGCAGATGTTGTCCAAACCCCCACAGGCCACAAAGTTCCCTGAGGGCGCATAGGCACAGGTCATGACCCAGGAGGAGCGCAGTGGGATGGCATGGACCTGGGAAGGAGGGCGGCACCCACAGTCAGGGCCAGGCCAGGGCTGGGGCTCAGAAACTCAGCCCCTCCACCTGAAGTGCCCACTCTACCTTGTTGGTGGTGTAGCTGTCCCAGATGATGAGTTTCCCATCCTGGGAGGCGCTGACCAGCAGCCTGGTGGACAGTGGTGAGGGAGAGGGAGAGGGGTCAGGTGTGCAGCCCTCCCAAGGGAGGCAAGACTAACCCACATCCTCCCATTTAGGAGGTTTTTTTTTTTTCTTTTCTCTTCTTGGTGGGACTGGGGTTTGAACGCAAGGATTTGTGCTTGCAAAGTCAGGACTCTCCCGCTTGAGCCACACCTCCATTCCATTTTGCTCTGCTTATTTTGGAAATGGGGTCTCAAGAACTCCGGGCTGGCCCTGAACCCCAATCCTCCTGATCTCAGCCTCCCAAGTAGCTAGGATTACAGGCATGAGCCACCAACGCCCAGCAGGAAAGTTCTTCTCAGACAATCCCAGTAGCAGTGTGGTCCTACTTTCCCTGGTCCTCTGGGCTGGGGGCGGGGGGTGTTCACCATCTTCCCAAACTTCCTCTTCCCAAAAGGAAGCACCAGACCGAGACTGCCCTCCCCCTACTGCCACTCTGCCTGCAATAAAAATCACCTGACCATGTGAACACTGAAGGTAAGCACAGAGCCCCAATCCAGCCACCCACACACCTTGAGTCTGTCCCCCAGTGCATGGCATAGATTTTTGCCAGGTGTCCACGGAGGGTCCTCCGTGTCCTCATCTGGATTCTCCCTACTGGGTCCAGCCCAGCTGTGATCTGGAGGTGGAGACAGAAGGGGCTCAGGGAGATCCAGGCAATAGGAGCCATCCAGCAGTATGCCTCAATCCCTTGTCCCTCCCCTAAATCCCCAGGTTAGCTAGTCCAGGAGTCACCTCACCTGGGACAGTGTTGAATCCCCACATGCTTTTCGGGCATCCTGTAAGAGATGGCAGAGCCAGAGACAAGCAGAAAACCGGAGGGGGAGGAGACAAGAAGAGGAAAAAAAACAGGAGACAAGGCAGTGCGGAAAATAAGATATTT